ATAACGCAAGACGACACGAGGCTATAAACCAGCATCCATATCGAATGTCACAGAAAGAACAGGAAATTATCAAGAAGCAAGTGGAGAAGATGCTTTCGGATGATGTCATTCAGCCTTCGAATAGTTCAGTGGGCGTCCCCCGTAGTGCTCGTTGAGAAGAAAGACAACACACTTGGATTCTGTGTCTACAACCGAAAGCTGAACAGTACAACTAAACGAGATGTCTAACCCTTGCCACGTATCGACTATACACTAGATCTGCTGCGATCCGCAAATTTTTTCTTCTCCTTTGATCTGAAAAGTGGTTACTGGCAACTAGAGGTCGACGAGCGATCCCGTGAGAAAACGGCATTTGTAATACCAGATGGCCTCTACGAATTCAAAGCTCTGCCGTTTGGCCTGTGTTCCGCGCCGGCGACGTTCCAGCGGAATGATAGACTTTGCCTTTGCAGGATTGAAAGGGCAGTCATGCCTAATGTATTGGATGACGTGGTGGTGATCTCTGCAACGTTTGATCAACATCTAGAACGACTACGCACCGTATTAGAAGCCATCCGGTAAACAAACTTGACAATTCATACCCGAAAAATACCACTTCGGCTTCGAAGAGCTGCGATTCCTTGGTCATGTCATTAGTTCTGACGGCGTTCGTCCGAATCCCGAAAAGACAGCCGCTGTTCACAGGTTCCGTACACCCAGAGACAAAAGTCACTGCGTCAATTTTTGAATTTATGTGCCTACTATAGGCGATTTGTGGAAAACTTCTTAAAGATTGCAGAACATCTTACAAAACTAGTTAAAGACGACGTGGCCTTCACATGGGAAAGCGAACAACAGAAAGCTTTTGACAAATTAGAAAAATGGCTACAGGGTTCACCAATACTTCCCACTTCGATGAGACAGCCGACACTAAATTCAGACCGATGCCAGCAATGTTGGCTTCGGTGCCACTCTGGTCCAGTGGCAAAATGGTCTAAAAAAGTGTTAGCCTATGCCAGCTGCAAACTCTCAAAAGCTGAGGCAAAGTACTCTGCAACTGAAAAAGAGTGTCTCGAAGTCATCTGGGCAATACACAAGTTTGGAGGCTACCTTTAAGGTAGACAGTTCCGAGTTGTCAGAGATCACTATGCTCGATGCTGGCTGGCAAATCTCAAAAATCCGTCAGGTCGACTAGCAAGATGGAGCCTCTTAGGCTGCAGGAGTATGTTATTACTGTCGTATACAAATCTGGAAAGGAAACACAGCAATGCCACTACCTGTCACGCTCTACCGTCGATCCAAGTGTACCTGAAAAGGAAAACTTCCCGTTCTAGACGTTGTCGACGCATCCGAAACCGCTCAACAACAACGAGATGACCCGGATTCAACGGCGCCTGTACAACACCTGCAGGGTCTCGACGTTCAAGTCTCTCGCATATTCTCCAGAGGGCTCTCCAGGTTCTGCTTTCGAGGAAGTGTTCCTTTACAGGAGGAACTTCGAATCTAATGGCGAAACGTTTTTACTAGTCGTACCCACAGCCAAGCGAGGGGAAATTTTCTGTGCATGCCACGACGAGCCAACATCTGGACATATGGGTGCGAGCCAAACATTCGCCAGGATTTGCCTGAAGTACTATTGGCCTAAGTTGCTCGCATCAGGGCAGCGCTACGTGAAAACTTTTTGTCAATGTCAACGGCGCAAAAGTCTGCCCGTAAAACCTCCCGGCATTCTCAAGCCAATGGACTCTCGAGATGCCTTATTCCAACAAGTCGGCATGGACTTCCTAGAACCTTTCCCGACATCGTATGCAGGCAAGAAATGAATAGTCGTAGCCACAGACTATCTGACCCGTTATGCTGAGACTGACAATCTGTACAGAGCAACAGCTGCCGAAGTCACGAAGTTATTTGTCAACAGCATAGTGCTCAGACATGGTGCGCCCATCGTCGTTATTGTGGATCGGGGTACCGCATTCACTGCAGACATATTGCAATGTCTGATGCACATGACAAATAGCGATCACAGAATAACAACGGCGTATCACCCTCAATCAGATGGCATAATCGAATGCACCAACAAAACTTTGACCGACATGCTATCAATGTATGTCGATGTTGAAGATAAACAGTGGGATGAAATATTACCATGCATAACATTCGCATATAATAGAGCCGGTCAATAAACAACCCGCGTTACCCCTTTCGAACTAGTATTTGGCCGAAGAGTGACCACCTCACTGGATGTCATGTTACTACTACGGGAGGAAAGCACCGAGCACCTGACTTAGGTGACCTCTTGCAAAGAGCCGTAGAAGCATGACAAAAAGCAAGATAGTGAATACTACGCCAACAGTGCTTCGATTCTAGTTGGTGCAAACAAGCGACGCCGTGATGCACTTTATCATCCCGGTGACAAACTGTTGATATGGATCCCAGTGCGCCACCGCGGACTATCTGAAAAGCTTCTTTGCCGATACTTCGGTCCTTATGAAGTACTCCACCATATCAGCGACGTTACTTATGAACTCAGAACATGAGAGCTCGAGACGCCGCTTTTCGACAGAAGAGGTACACGTAGTCCGCATGATGCCCTATCATGACAGATCGTCGGAAGACGAGTGAGAGTGGGCATGTATCTTTTCACTGTCTCAAGCACGGAGGAAGAAAAGGTAGGAGAGGCCCTGACGTCACTTCTTGTGAAGCCACGATGAAGCCAGAAGTCGACCGTATTGACTGGGCAAATTCTTCTGTTTTGTTTACATCCGAATGTAAAGCAGAAGGCACGACTCTCTCTCCGGCTCGGAAAGCACGTGAGCTGCGCAGTGCGTGTGTCGTGACGATCCGATAACTAATGGAATGGGCGCTTAACACTCTTGGCCAGCGCGACACCTTCGGCGAAATCATTTCGTCCGAGTATCAACAGCGAGGAACAGCTCACCGGCAACGAAGCAAGCACAAGAGAACGAGCGCTTGATTCGCTGACAACGGCGAGTGTTTTCACGTCATTATTTCAGCAACTGTACAGACAACCCAATCGGTCGTGCGCCTTCTACAGTTGCATTCCGCCACGCGGCTGACACAGTGTCCGGCCAATGTGTCCGTGTTCTGCGTGAAACTCGCCGGCGTCAGCAATCTGCGACCGTGGTGACTTTGAGCACGGTGCAAGAGACACTTGAACGTGGTTGCTGTTACGTTGAGCTTACATGCAATTTGAGGAGAGAGCAGACGAAGCGGTACAGAAAATGTGTTTTAGGTTGCACATGCAAGTTTACTGTACACACACAACACGAAACAACGAATGTGCATATGGTCCTCATTGCGTCTTGCTTGGCTCTAAAGCGTCGTCCTTTGTCACGAGCAGGAGCACTGCCCAACCGTCACTGACCTGCAAGGCGTTCGTCATTGTTCCGCTTCGTCATGGTGCCCAACGCAACTTCGCTGAACACTATTTGCTTCATCCGCGTCATCCGTCACACGACACATGGATATGCACTCGTTCTACGCACTGTTGAAACCCCGTGAGGATAAAAGCATTTGTAAACGTTGCTAAGAGTGCAGTAATTGCCAGGAGAACACAGCGTAACCAATAACGCGGCGCAGAGAGCACGAATATTGTGCGCCTTGGCTCAGCACAAGACCTGGGGAGGCACACATGCCAACGCCAGCCGCGGCCATTCACTGCTAGACCAGCTCCACTGTGGAACACGTAACCATAGCAACGCCGCCATTGTGCCCAGTGAATATGGTCGCCATGATGTCATTTCCTCTACACTTTTCACGTAGCGCTCCAGCTGGGCATGCCCTCTTCTACCTCATCTTCCTCCATGGTCTCAAGCATTGGGACGATGCGTCGGAGGAGGGGATAATGCCGTGACAGGTTGGCTACTTTCAAGCAGCCCGACGCAATCATCGTGGCCAGAGCACCAGGCAAGACCCGGTTGGCATGCGCCATGCGCTCGTGCGCTCTGGCTACGAGGAAGAGGAAGACAGTTGGTTCTGTGCAACTCGGCTACTCGGTCTTCGACGACCATAGTCATTAGACTCGTGGGCACAAGTTCGCCCTAATGAAGACGCATGCTTTTTAGCTTGTCTGCCTGAGACTCACTACAATATATATTTTTCGTGTGGGCATATATGATTTATCATAATCATCATCATCCGTCTGGGTCCCTGTCCTAATCTTCACTGGGGGTCACCACGATAATCATCGGGTGTGTGCACGCTGGGTGTCGGACTGCCCGTTCGTTGCTGAGCCTTTGGGATGAATACACGCTGTCTCAACCCAGACGTCATACGTGATGGAGGTGGTTTTTTGGTCCTCGGTCCTCTCCCACTTCGCTCGACTCCCTGGAGCTGCGTTCAGGCCGCCGATTGCCCCCACTGTCCGGCAGCATGTCACAGAACGAGCCTGCCAGCGCTGCTACCATCACTGCTGCCATCTCTCCTCCGCCGTCTTCCGCCGCGCCTCCAGTGTACGTACACAGCCACCAGCGTGATCCCCCTCTCTTCGCCGGACGTCGCGGGGAAGACGTGGAAGACTGGCTTGATGAGTACAGCTGCGTGAGTAATGCTAATCACTGGGACGATAGCGCCGAGCTCTGTTACTTATCTTTCTACTTGAACGGTGTGGTGAAGACGTGGTACTTTATCCTCATAATCGACATACCCGACTGGGCTACCTTCGAGCAGCAGCTACGTCACCTCTTTGGCACACCGGCCATTCGGTCGGCAGTCGCGAAGAGAACCCTCGACACTTGCCAACAACGTTCCGGTGAGTCCGTACACGTCGTACATTGAGGACATTTTTGCGAAAGAGAGGGTGATCACGCTGGTGGCTGTGTACGTACACAGAAGACGCGGCTGAGGACGGCGGGGGAGAGATGGCGGCAGTGATGGTAGCTGCGCCAGCAGGCGTGTTCAGTGACATGCTGCCAGACAATGGGGCAATCGGTGGCCTGAACGCAGCTCCAGGAAGTCGAGTGAAGTGTGAGGGCACCGAGGACCGAGAATGCAGCGTTTATTCAGCCCAAGGGCTCTGCAACGAATGGGCAGTCTGAGACCGAGCATGCACTCACCCGATGATGATTGTGGGCACCCCCAGTGAAGATGAGGACAGGAACCCGACGGATGATGATGATGATTATGATTATTGCATATATGAGAAGCGCATAATTATAGCCCACAATATATATATATATGTATATATATATATATATATATATATATATAATATATATTATATATATATATATATATATATATATAGAACTTGAAGGGAAGGCACGACAGGTCCGGGTATTTTCTATATTGAATTAACTTGAAGATAGCACATAAGAAAAGGATCGTATTTACTAACGTTTCGGCCGTGGCACGGCCTTCGTCAGCGTAATACGATCCTTTTCTTATGTGCTATCTTCAAGTTAATTCAATATATATATATATATATATATATATATGATCCAAAAAGAAATTTTGTGGGTCCGGTGCAAATATAGTGAAGAATAAAGGAGCACACTTACGAAAATTTGATAATTGTTTACTCTACGTTTCGGCCGTGGCACGGCCTTCGTCAGGATTCCTGACGAACGCCGTGCCACGGCCGAAACGTAGAGTAAACAATTATTAAATTTTCGTAAGTGTGCTCCTTTATTCTTATATATATATATATATATATATATATATATAAATATATATATATAATATATATATATATATATATATATGTATATAGATATTCTGTCATACTGCAGCCTTCATTATTTCATTGATATTGTCAGCGGACATCGAAAAAGGTTGAATATATAATATAAAATATATATATATATTGTGGACATTTAGTATACCATTCCTCTTCATCTGTACATTATCATCATTATCATGTATTGCCCATGCATCCTCATCATTGTAACGTATCATCATCATCTTGGTTCGTGCATCTCCGCTGTCGGCTGCCAGTTCCTCGGGCCTAATAAAGGTCTTCCAAACCAAGACTTCATAAGTGGTGGAGGTGCTGGGTATAATTCCCAGGCAGGCTATCATGTGCAGCCCACCAGTAAGTCTCCAGAAACTCGGCCAGGTGTTCACACGCCTCCTCCAGCTGGTTCTCATCCAGAATCACATCAAACATCTCAGGTGGACACTGTGCCAATTTTTCTGCAGCCACCATCTGTACGTTGAGATTCCGGCTCTGTGATTTGCCTCTAGATTTGATAAGGCGTTGAAAGGCTTTTGGTGAAGATATTTTTACATAAACGATAATAGGTGCTAGTGAAGTTTTGGCCAACTGTGAGGGCTGGTTAATGGTATCACAATCAAGGACAACCAGTTGCAGCGTCCTGTGCCAGCTCGAATATTCGTTCAATATCTTGTTGCACTTCCGCTAGGAAGCTTGTTCGGCTGTTTGAGCGTTCTATAGGCGCACGTTTGCCGGCATTGTTGACGGCAGAGCCCTTTACCAATGATATGTCAGCAGTCCCTCGGGTTATTATGATTCTGCCTTCAAAGCGGTGCTTGAGAAAATCGAACAAAGCCTTTTGCATCATGTCTGTCACCTCGAAACCCTTGATAGAGGGCCCCACCAGGACCACTGGTCTCACTGAAGGCACTACGTCATGGGGGCTTAAGCTCTCAGTCTTTTTAAAGAATGGTTTCCGTTTTTCCTTGGCAGGGAGGGTGGTTAGCACACCCCGACCAAGCTTTGTGTTGCCAGGACTGTCACTCTCCTCAACGTTGCTCTCCAAACCATTCTGGTCAGGAGTAGGTGGCGTTGAACCCCTTGAATGTAATTTACTGCTACGTGTTCCTCTCTCGCCTCTATGGAGCAGCTGCCTTCGGACGACCCACACGATTTTTCTTTTCGACAGCTGGCTGACCCATACTGTCGACGTACTATAGGCTACCTCACTGGCAGTTCCCGTCCACCTAATGCGAGGCTCCGTCGCCATCTCTCGCAGTTTAAGCTGGACAACTCGGTGCTGTACCGCAAAATTTACCATCCTGACGGTCAGCGCTGGTTTCCGTTCTACCCCGATTGCTTCGGTCCGAAGTCCTCAGAGCACTTCATGACCATCCGACGGCTGGTCACCTTGGTTACCACAAAACCTATGATCGCCTTCGAAGTCGGTTTTATTGGCCAGGTATTACCACTAGTGTAGCTCGGTACGTTGGGTCCTGCACTGCCTGCCAATGTCGAAAACTACCCACATCTGCTCCAGCCGGTACACTACAGCCTCTTCCATGCCCAGCCACACCATTCGAAGTTGTAGGCATTGATCTTTATGGCCCCCTTCCAGTCAGCGCTGCTGGAAACCGATGGATAGTAACAGCCGTTGACCATTTGACGCGCTACGCCGAGACGGCATCTGTCACTACCGGTTCAGCTTCCGAAATTGCCGGCTTCATCCTCCGAGCCATTATACTGCGTCATGGTGCTCCACGTGTATTGCTCAGCGACCGTGGAAGGGACTTCCTTTCACAACTAGTGAACGAACTTCTTCGCGCCTCTGGCACAAGTCACAAGACTGCCTCTAGTTATCATCCCCAAACTAACGGCCTCACTGAGCGATTCCACTGCACTCTTGCTGACATGATCGCCGCCTACATTCAACCAGACCACAAGAACTGGGATGTAGTTCTACCATTCGTCACTTTCGCCTACAATACGGCTATTCAGCGGACAACCGGCTACTCACCGTTTTACCTAGTTTATGGACGCTCCCCTACTTCTTTGCTGGACGTCTCTTTCTTTACCTGCTATGCGGATTCATCTCCATCCTCTTCAGAGGAATACGTTTTGCGGCTCGCAGAGAGCCACCAGCGTGCTCGTATCAACACTGAAGCCCGACAGCAAGACAGAAAGCTGGTTTATGATGAATCGCATCGTGCTGTATCCTTTCAACCTGGAGACGAAGTGCTCCCTTTGACGCCTATTCGCACACCTGGTTTGTGCGACAAGTTCCAGCCACGATTTATCGGGCCGTACACAGTTCTTGAAAAAACTTCACCTGTAAATTATCGCCTAATGCCACTTGTAGCCCCCCCCCAGCCCCGCCGCGGTGGTCTAGTGGCTAAGGTACTCGGCTGCTGACCCGCAGGTCGCGGGTTCGATTCCCGGCTGCGGCGGCTGCATTTCCGATGGAGGCGGAAATGTTGTAGGCTCGTGTACTCAGATTTGGGTGCACGTTAAAGAACCCCAGGTGGTCAAAATTTCCGGAGCCCTCCACTACGGCGTCTCTCATAATCATATAGTGGTTTTGGGACGTTAAACCCCACAAATCAATCATCAACTTGTAGCCCCAGCAAATCGCCGTTATCGAACTACTGAAGTCGTCCATGTCTCCCGTATGAAGCCCTTCATGTGACGTTCTTTGTCCCCTTGACTTGCCAGCGGCCAGGCTGGCCGCTTTCACGAGGAGGGAATCAGTGTGGGAATTTAGTATACCAATTCTCTTCATCTGTACATTATCATCATTATCATGTATTGATCATGCATCCTCATCGTTGTCACGTATCATCATCATCTTGGTTCGTGCATCTCCGCTGTCGGCTGCCAGTTCCTCGGGCCTAATAAAGGTCTTCCAAACCAAGACTTCATAATATATATATATATATATGTATATATATATATACATATCTGCCCAGAAACGTACAAATTATATCAAGAAACTACACACCACTACATCCTGGACAGACAATTAAGCTGTTCATTCAGAAGTCTGCTCTCAAAGCTGTAACTGAATATAAAATGGAAAGGGTGAAGTGCAGCGTGCAGGCATGCCAGCAACACAAAGGCTCTTTGAAAAAATTATTGATGTCAAGTTATGCACAAGTAAGGCTGTGCATTCACCTGCACCAGTTCGAAACAAGAACCAGTGGAAGTCGAAGCAAGACATGCGCTGCGGTCAACTTGCAGTGAGTAGTAGCACTTGTTTTTGAAGTATAATAAAGATATAGTCCAAATGAAGTTGTGGCGTTCAAAATTGCCGTATATTCAAGATAGTTTGCTTGCTCATTGTTACAAAACCGTGTGGTCACTTCATTTCAACAATACCAATGAATGCTTTATAAAAATGCTAATTTACAATATATTCTTATGTAGTCCACCACATAGGTGATATGCTTTCAACAATTGTTTGCCAATCTGCTGTTTGCAGTAAGATAAAAAAGATGAAAACAAAATACACAACACTGTGCGTTGCAAGGTGTGGTCTGTAAGGGAGATAGCTAATGACAGGTTGAGGTGCAACGCTTCCAAAGTCGTGGGTTCATCCAAGCATGTGTGTGACCGGTTCGTAAACAACCTAGTTGTATTACTCACTCAGCCTGTGGCGCTAGTGTGAGTGACAGACGGACATAGAGATGCACGGACGACCGTATGTACGCTGCGCTCTGCTCATCATCATGAATGATGAAAAGTGGGGCGAAACGTTCGTCAGTCTGTGCTATGCTGTGCTCCATTGATATGACGTACGTACGCACGGACGAACTGACACATGGATGGACGGACTCATGAACAGAGGCACAGACGGAAGCACGAATGGAAGCTTCGCTCCACACATCATCATTCGCTTCGTGGATATGCTGTGATTTTTTCCTTTTCTCACGACAGCAAGTACTTTTTTTTAATTCTTTTTGTCCAGCCAGCTGGCAAACGGCAAACTGTGTTTACACTTTTTTTGAAGGCACACACACACACAGACACATTGAAAGGCCAAGGGACTTAGGTGCGTGTTTTCACATCTTTAACCTATATAAATAGCTACCGACTAGTCGAGAAGGCGCTAATGAAAGGCGTTAACGCGGCTGGCATCGACGGTAGTTTTCTGCTGCGAGCAACTCCAGCTGAAAATGTCTCTTTCAAAATAAAACCAAAAACCTTCATACTGCCTATGAGAAAACACTGTATTTCTCTCATGTTGTATGAGCACCAGATGTTTTGAAGCAACAAACTCTTTACACAGCCGTGCAACGCACGTTGGCTTGCCATCGTGGCATGTGGAGAAGGCATCGTGATGGTGGACTCTGTAGCAGATGACGTGGTTGTGTTCATCTTTCAAAGCGGCATATGGGGGCACGCGCATCGAGGAACCCTCGTACCCGTGGGCTTTGCGCTCTCGGAGCGCGCCGAAAGCGAGAAGCGTCTGCTACGCACTGCAGTTTTTTGCGCTGTGTTTCCACACGGAGTACTTGCTGTTATTTAGCTTTAACATTTCGGTGTGGGAAGAAATTTACCCAAGTTTAGGCGCTGTTGTAGTGCCTGGGGGAACACTAGAATGCAAAAACTCGTGTGTCCAGCGGCATCAGCGTGGCGTATAGCTCTTGTGATATAGCTTGAGAGCATTGGTGCGTGCGTAAGAACGCGCAAAAAATGGACAGGCATAATGAAGGAATGAAAAGAAACAGTTCACATGGCTAATTGAGCATGCAAAAATTAAAGTAATAAAAAAAGCAAATTACTCGAGCAGTCTGCAGCAATGCTTATGCACAGTGACCTCTTCACTCACCACGGTATACAATTAGCAGTGCTCATAGTTACCAGCGGTTTTCTAGACATGTACAGGCCGTTTTATTCAATAATTTGTTAGCATTGACTTGTGTTTGATTATGAATAGAACACATCGGAAAGACGTAGGACAAACAAAAGAAAGAGTAACAACAGCCGGAAACCCGCAATACTGTTGGCTCATATTCGTTTCTGAGGTATCAAGGCTCACCGAGCGTAAAACTTGTGTTAAATTCCGACATTTTAAAGAAAAGCAATGCCAGGTATATTTACATTCCCCCACAAGTTTCTGAATCAAAGGCGTATTATAGAAAATGCTCTACCAATATCCAGTTACCAAAAGATTTACAAATACCTCTATTCTTGTTGTGCAAGTTGAATAGCTGCCTGAACAAAAATCCGGGATGTTTACTAATTGTGAAAGGGTATTATATAAATCAGTTTTGAAAATTCGAAATTTTAACTTTATTGGACGAAATTTGACGAGATCACAAGGTGGACAAGAAGTGCAACTTCAGAGATTCCAGAGTGAAAGCTGTCGGGGGGACCTCCTAACAAAACATAAATGGTGGTTTACAGGAAACTTGGCGAACAGTAAGTTTTTCGTTTTATATAAAATCTATAGCTTTAGTCATAAAAGTAAAATGTTCATAAATAAAAAAATAAAACAGCAAACCAAGACAATCACCAACGTAAATGATAAAATAATTTTAACAATGTCAGATAGATAAAATCACAAAATCAATTCAAACAAGAAATTGTGGCAAGAACTGCCACACACGCGAATAAATATCAAAATAGGAGAAAGTGAAACACTTGGAAGTGGCAACAGCACTTTGCGAATAGGCAGACAAAACCTAGTGAAATATATGTCTAACAAATTAATAATGAAATGCTCCTTAGTTCATGTTTGAATGAGAATAATGAAGATGACATTATACCCGATGGCAATGAATTCCAAACTGAAATGCGTAAAAATGCAACAGACATCGCCAATATTTGGTTCTAATTTGAAGAAGGAGTAGATTAGGTCTCTTTGAAAATTTCGTAATATTATAATTGATGAAGCTAGAGTGAGCAAAACCTGCAATATTGAGATCGAGATTGATAAGACGAAACATTTATAGTGACATCTTGTAATAGAATAGCCTGCGCAAAAGTAGAACATTTACCTAACAGAATATGGGAGGAGATGAAGACCTATGCTATTGAAATGTAACCAATCGTAATTTGGAAAAATTTCTAGATGATGAAGATGTGTGCAATAAGTATTACCTCACGATGAAAGGCAGTATGAGAGATGACTGTGTATGTGCGCATAGT